TTGATGAAAACGATCTTGAGGGGGCAAAGCCGTCTTTCTTATCATATCTGCTCTAGCTCTATCACTGAGGGTTTTTTCATATCTTTGACCTATGAAAACATTTTTAAAAAATTAAAGATTATATAATAGTAATAATAGTAATATAATAATAATAGTAATAATAGTAATATAATAATAATAGTAATATAATACTTACTATTTAATATCTCGCATACTTCAAGGGGAATATAATTCTTCTTTTTGTCCATGATACAAGGTAGAGATTTGAATTCGAGTCTGCGATTGTAATTTTTATCAAAGTATTCGGCAACGGACATATCTCGACCTTCTTTTTCATTTTTGAAGTAAAGATCGTCCGCAGCTTTAGAAGAGAGTCGCTCCACCTTAATTACCGGTTTACGATCACCACGATGTGTAACTCGAACTTTGATGCCTTTTAAAGCCTAGGAAAATAAATCGCAAAATGTAAAAAAAAAGCACTCAAATGAAAATAATTCATAACTTACACGTTCAAGTTCGCGCATCTCATAATCATTAATTCCTCGTCTGAGGTCGTTAACATCATGCTTGTTTAAAGTTTGTCGACAAAACTCGATCAGCGATACTGCCGGATAAAAAAGGCCAGCACATACGTCGACATTCACCAACATATTATCTAATAATAACGCAAAAAAAATTTGTTTTTATTATATTATATTATATTGTAGAGAATAATAAAAATTTACATACCCCATCCTGGTCTCATAGTTTGACAAAATCCGATTTTCAATTCGATACCACCAGTCAAAATGATAGGCCTTTCATTAAAGTCATCTGGGAAAATTCCTTGCTTCACGACAGCAAAACTTTTTCTCGGACCATAATTCAACACGGTGTTAAGAATCGTAATACAAGTTGGGATTTGACTTGTCATTATACATTTTTCTTTAAGGTATTCGATGAGTCGATCCATTTCTATCTTTTCTATCTTACGGATTGTTACGAGAAACTTTTTTTCTTTCATTCGGCCTTCAGCTGGTAATGATATCTAAAGAAATAAATATATAAATACATAAAATATATATAGTTATAAAAATAGCAAAGGTCGAGGATGATTCACACCTGAATGGAAAATTCTTTGTCATCACCGATTGGTAAGGGAATACATGTATAGATAGCGCTATTTCCATCAAATACAGAACACGTGTTTCCAAAAGTACCCTGAGAAGCCAACTGAGAAAAAATCTTTGTTTTCAAAGGAGTCTTTGCATCAGGTACCACGACAAAGCCATAATGAAGCAAGGCAGTGCTGGGAAGCTTTTTTTATGACAAAATCAAACAATAAATAAAATCATCGCATGCCAGTTTTAAATCAAACCAAATTCAATAAATTTACATACCGAGCGAACCCTTAAATAGTTAGTTCTAACACTAACTTTTCTTCCAGCGGTTCCAACACTTGGACGTTCAGATGGCTCAGATAATTTTAGTTCTAATGCATATTGCGCGTCAATATTTTTTTTCTTCTTCACGTCGTCTTTGTCAGTTGGGCTAGGAGGACGTTTTGTGGCAATTGGAGTTAAAGACATCGGAAAAGAAAGTTATCAAGGATTTGGAAGGATATGTGAAGAGAAATTTGAAAATTACAAGAGTAAAAAAAAAAAGAAAAAAAAAAGAAACAATTGTCTTTTATATTCCTTTAACGAACAGTACACACTTTATTCATCGAATGACATGTTAAGTAGTCAAAAAACGAATGATTAATGAATTCCATCCATGTCATGACTGACGTGAACGATCTTTTTAATAATATAATAAGATTGAATCTTTGCAATTATGAAAAGCATTTCATGAACTGACGTGTACACCAATGTTTGCTCATTAAATAATTAAATGAAGCTTTGTATTTTGTTAATAGATCGATCAACAA